CCTCTTTCCCAAACAACATAACCCCTCTGCTGCTATGTGGAAGCCAACCAAGATCATGTGCAGGCAGTCCCTGATTATGTTTTTCCTGGCTGTGAACAGCCATTACATTTGTAGCACTACAGACATCTTTGCAGCACCACAAAAGTGGAGGGGATAGGCATGCATGAGCCCTACAGCACTACAAAAATGGCAGAAGTGCTACAAGAATTCATAGATTCATAGATTCATAGATGTTAGGGTCAGAAGGGACCTCAATAGATCATTGAGTCCGACCCCCTTCCAGACCTTGGCCACTCAAACTGTGAAGCAGTTCTTCCTAATGTCCAATCTAAATCTGCTCTCTGCTAGTTTGTGGCCATTATTTCTTGTAACCCCCGGGGGCGCCTTGGTGAATAAATACTCACCAGTTCCCTTCTGTGCCCCCGTGATGAACTTATAGGCAGCCACAAGGTCGCCTCTCAACCTTCTCTTGCGGAGGCTGAATAGATCCAGTTTCTCTAGTCTCTCCTCGTAAGGCTTGGTCTGTAGGCCCTTAACCATACGAGTGGCCCTTCTCTGGACCCTCTCCAGGTTACCCGCATCCTTCTTGAAGTGTGGTGCCCAGAATTGCACGCAGTACTCCAACTGCGGTCTGACCAGTGCCCGATAGAGGGGAAGTATCACCTCCTTGGACCTATTCGTCATGCATCTGCTGATGCACGATAAAGTGCCATTGGCTTTTCTGATGGCTTCGTCACACTGCCGACTCATGTTCATCTTGGAGTCCACTAGGACTCCCAGATCCCATTCCATTTCCGTGCCACCCAGCAGGTCATTTCCTAGGCTGTAGGTGTGCTGGACATTTTTCCTCCCTAGGTGCAGCACTGAATGGAAGAAGTGCTACAAGAATGAAAGAAGCGCAACAAAAATGTTCCTGTTTGAAAACGGAGCTTTCTCTGTGGTGCTGTGTTTTGTAGTGTTACATGCAATTTTGATACATTTACATGTAGTGCTGTTGAGGGTCCCTTGGATCCCATGGTCCTTTGCTCTCCACACCTTCCCCTCCAAGGGAGAGCACACTCTTCACAAGCATACCTTTTGGTAACATGGGGTGGGAAAGAGATTCGTGATTTCACATACATGAGCCTGCAGGTTATGTGTAAAGGAGTCCTTTGCGCTTTCCCTCAGGGCTTTGCAAATCCCACTGTTAAATGGTTTTAAGTTGGTTTACTCTTAACTAGTTTTGTCAGGTTGATTGCATGCAGCTTGCTGACCAGTCCATTCTCTTATTCCTGACATTACTTTGAATTATTTATTTTTTTTACATATATTTTTTGCATTCCAGATTCTGATTTGATTATAAAGTGGTGTGCATCTATCTGCAGGCACCAATGGTGCTTGAGCCTGGGCTGCTGTTGCACTCACAAGCATGACAATCTAGGCACAGTGCTGTAGTGCTCTCTGAGGGCTTCCCACAGCTTCCTGGGAGCAGGCATGTGCTTGCTCTATCTCCAGGGGCAGAGCTGGCCTCACTTATGTTGTGCAGAACACAGTGGCCAGCAATTCCTAAGAAAGGGAAGATGATGACTGGGTCTTCCATGCACTGTTCTCCTTTGGGACAGCCTCAGCATCTCATGATGCTTCCTCCCATGTCCCACAGTGCATTACACTGGAAGGCAGTCCAAGAGCCACTGGGATGTTTTTCCCACATATACTTTGCATACAGCACATACAGCTGTTGCTTTAAATTTTAACTTGAGTTGAGAGTGAGACTGATGACCAGTGAAACTATTTCAGTCACTATTTGAAGGCTTAATTAGTCTACACAACAGGAAAGACTTATTTGTAGTGGTGCTTAAAGAGGGTGCTTAGCCCTGGATTCAAGGGAAAAACAGGTCCACTGGCCAGGCTTCTCTGTTCCCTTGGGGACTCTCATTGATTTGGTTCCTCTTTTTCGTTGAGCATCAGGGACGTCTGAAGTCACATGGTTTAATCAACGATTGTATACTGCAGTTTTCCATATTAGATTATGCTTTGGTGCTATGCCAATCATTTTTCCTTACATTATATAAGTATAGCTTATCACTAGTGAGGGTGCATGCTCAACTCGAATCACTGCTACATAGGTCAAGCTCGGGTCATATCATGACACCGCACATGACACACGCTGCCCCCGTTGCACATGGCCTACGATGCACATATGGCCGACACAGCTGCTTGAAACACTACTGGCTGTCATGCATCAGTAGAAGTTGCTAGTCAAGATGAGGCCTGGAGATGATGGTCAAGGAAGGGTGAGCCAGATGTCTCATGGCCCTGATTTCTGCTTCGAATACATGCTCAGCACGAGAATGGGGTTGATGGGCAGAAGACAGACTTCCTGTGGATTCAGTTAGGTGGTTTCCCTGGCACTTAATGAAAGTTTAGAGATGACAATATTGTTGCATTCTGAGCAGGGATCTGGGGTCCTTTATACGGGATCTAAGCAGGCGGCAGTGGAGGGAACAGTCAGAAAGGTCCAGGATGTGTTGCTTATTGTCGATGATGAATACAGTCATGGTCAGTCACGCCGGCCCCATGTGTCCCTTAGTAGATTGTCCAAGTCTTGCAAGTCCACGCAATGGCCCCCGGGGCCCCCCCCGCCTCTCGTGCCGTGGCAAAGCGAGGCGGTGAGTGAACCGAGGGGCGCGGGGAGGCCTTTCAGGGGAGCTCGCTGCTCTGCTCCCGCGCCTTGTCCCGAGCTCGCCTCTTGTCCTCAGCGCCGGATGAGTCCCCGCCACCCGGCCTGCAGCGGGTGCAGTGATGTGTTGGCGGGGACGTGGGCGGCAAGGCTCCCCCCTCTCTTTCTGCACCCCCAACCCTTCCTTGCTGCCCCGCAGGGAGGCTCCTTCCCCCACCGCCCAGTGCCGCAGGGGCCCGCGGGGGGGTGGGCAGCGGCTGCCCCCCTCAGCCGGGCTCCCCGCCGGCTCCCGCGCGTGTCTCCGCCCGGGCAGCGGG